TGATTTCATTCAGTCGAAGCATTGAATGTAAGCTTAATTAAGCTTATACTCCTGTTATTTTATTTTTAGCTCGGTGATGTTTTGGTCAAACGAGCATGACGTGTTCTTGTGGCGAGAAGTGGTAAATTTAAACCCTTTTACGTCCAAAAAAGGATCCACTCAAAGAAGCGGGATGTGGGAGAAAATAGCTCAAATTTTGAACGAATGTACCGTACTGAGATTCAGCGTTGACAAGGGATCGGTTCGCGACCACATGGGGATTCTCCTCAACAAGCATAAAAGAAAGATCAGAGCCGAGGAGAAGGCATCAGGTATAGTGCCCGACGAGCCAAGCGAACTGGAAAATCTTTTGGACACTATCATCGCTTTAGAAGAAAGTTCAGAGGCAGAATCACAGGAATTAAGAGAAGGAAAAAATGAAAAATTTGAAAACGACCGAGCAAAGGCAGAAGGTGCGAGATTAAAGGCGATGGAAAAGCTGTCGGAGACTAGGAAAAGATCAAGTGAGAGCGAAGAGGAAAAAACCAAACGACAGCGTAGAAGTGGAAGTGATGCTATGGAATTTTTAACGGATAGGGCTAAGATGAATTATGAACTGAAACAACAAGAGTTTAAAATGTTGCAAGAACAGCAAGCGTTGGAAAGAGAAAAAGTGGAAGCAATGGCCAAACAGCAGCTACAAACACAACAGTAACAAACTGAAATGTTTAAAGTAATACAACAGCAACAACAACAACAAAGCCAACAACAGCTGGTTAACACTCAAACTTGATGATGATGCAACAACAACAAGAACAGACAAGGGCAATGATGGCTCTATTAGAGAAATTAACCAATAAGTGATCTATGGATTTGTGTCACAGTCAGGTTTTGCAGCATATTTTGCTGCACTGCATATCATTCCCATAAAATAACTACATACGATAACTGTACTTTTCTGGTATGTATCGGTCAAATCCATGCTTAAATATCTCCCTTGCATAAAGGAGCAAAATAAATAAATTATGGTCACTGAATTAAAATTTTGGGTGTGGGAATTTGATCACCTGAAAAGGACATAGAATGGGGTATTTGAATGGCTTTTAATCCCTGGGAGGGGGGAATGTAAACACTCAATAACCGGCCAAAAGTTCAAATGCCCATGGAGGATGATTAAGCTTCGATTTGACTGGTACATTAAAGTAGCATAAGCTAACATCTAAAACTACACTTCTTGAACATTTTCGAGTGGCTCGTGGATAAAAATATTTTTAAAAATACACTGCTTGATTTGCAGGCCCACGAGATACAGATGACATGAAACCACCTTTTGCATTTCTATTGTTTTTTTTTTGCTGGAAAAGTTGAAACTCGGTTGTCACCAGCAGCAAGGAAAGTTGACTGATGTTGTATATGTACACAATTGTTGCCAGGTTTTTCAAGTGACAATGTTTTGTTTTATTACTTGAGGGATTTTCCTTGTACCTTTGTTCTCTGTACAAATAAGAGGCCTTCCTTTCAGGCCATCAGTTGTGTTTTTACATTTCAAACCAATCCACAAAAAGTTAATTAAATATTAATTTAAAGGTACTGATTTGTGTGCACATATATGAGCAAAAACTACATTTTTGCTTGGATATCTTAGTTAAACCATATCTATCCCTATCACTGGTTATTCTTGGTGAAGAAAACGTACAGGAAACTTTACTAACCCTAGCTAAGTAGAAAACAACATGTTCCAGTCCAAGAGTCTGGAACTCAGGGGGACGGTTAATCACATAAGGAAATTTTTTACACACAACACTCTTAAGGAGGCATTTCTGTCACAGGTATTATATACAAAAAAACTTATATTATTCTCATGAAAAGTGTGACAAAGACCAGTTAATTAGAATAGTCATTTAATGAAGGTGGATCTAGTCCAAAAAATTCAGCTGTTGTGTTTGAATAGAGACAAGTTAAACCATTCCTTAAAATAGTAAATGCTATGTACATTTTTCCTACTTGACCGAGTTCAATCTTCCATTTTTTTTTTTTAATCTAAAAATTTGAAGTAGTTTACAATATCTTCGAATAACCATTCAACTGATGAGCGAACAGCACTCATGGACTCATTAAACATCTCCATACCTCTTGTTAGAATGCCAACTCTGAAAGGTGCCTGCAAGTGAACCCTGAGTGGGTTTGCTGGATCCCCATATAAACATATTGCTCTACCAACGGGGTCAAATGCAAAGTTTTGTAAATCATCATACAGTTGGGAGACTGCCAACATTCTGCCTTCTACAAGAAGGAAAGAAAATAAAGGTTCCACTCCAAAAACAAATTAAGGATATATATTTCATCATCAATGTTCGCTAAAATCAAGTCATGCAGGCTTTACATTTAACTAGCACGTAGGGTATATGGCGTGGAAACAAGAAATTGAATAGGCTGTTATCAATTATTAAAAGAATTTCACCAAAAAATAAGGCAAAAGTAAGAGGCAAGTAAAATGAAAGAAAAATTCCATAAACATGCCAATGAAGGGAAAAAAGGTTGCTTTGTGAATAGAAAAAAAATCTGAGGCTTACCTACAGGACCGTAGATATTAGCAATCAGTCCATTGGAAAGCGAGACGGCCTGGAACTTGAGCGCATGTACGCGTTTGTGGCCATTATAAACAACTCGCTGGTTTGATATCGGCCGACTAATGGGCCGCACAGTTCCGTCTATAAAGCCGAAACAGTTATGAAGGACTGCTCCTTTAGAATGGACCGCATCTGCATACGTAGCGATTAAAGGTGGGTTTAAAATACCATGGTTCCACCGTGTAACCTTGTGCCCGTGAGTATTATATATCAAACTCAGCTGATGCACCGATCGCCCAAAGATTGGCATCGTGTCGGAATAGCGGCATGGATATGCGAACCGCTTTAGGACAATACGGAGGCCTTCGGTTCCATCACAGATAGTTCCATTAGAGCACTTGAAGATGAGCGGAACTCTTAAGGCTTCAATAAGTAATGCGATATGCCTTTTATCGACGCGAAAATCAGCTTTGCATTCGGCACAATTTTTGTTTTCGAGAGAAAATTTCTCGTATGCCGAGTGCCGAAATGGAAGATTTTGTGGAGCTACGCCTCGTAAAACACTGAAAATTCTTCGTCGTCTATAATTTCTTCCTCCAAGTAAGGTAACAGTAATTCTTAAATTTTTTGGAAGGAAGCCATTTTTGGTTTCTCCGCCAAAAGCTTCGTACGGATTAATGTACCGATATTGACCCCATCGCTTCGCAAATCTTAACTTAAATTTCCCGCGCTTACAACGCCGTCCTCATTCCAGGTTTTTGCCCGGTCACCGCGTCCTAAAAGCCGTCACGTCCTGGATCTTAAAGTCCCTTGTTTCACTGGTAAGCAGCCCTGAAGTGGAATTGTTGAACAACATTCGGGCTTTGAGTTGGTAGTCTCCAGCAATCCCGCTCTGCGTGGTTTGTCAAGGGGTTAAAAAATTAACATGCACATCTCTCTACATTTCCGGCTTAAAAGGCGTGTGTTATTATATACTTCACAATCTCTCTTAACTGTCAGGTTCCATTCGTTCAGGCATTCGATTCTGTATACTACGCTTGTGTAGTCTTGTGAAGTTTCCTATATTATCTGTAATGTACTTCAAGCTTTACCTTGTAAAGCCCTTTGGAGCAAGCCAATCACATGGCACAAAACCGCCATGCTTGAGAGCAAGAGATATACTGGGTCAAGAAAAACAAAAAAAATGAGCATTTGAAATGATGTAAGGTTTTTGTTTGTCTTGTCTCAGTGCGTCCCTTAACGGGTGAATAACTGGCTGCAAAGAGACTATTAGGATCCCTTATGTCACATGTCTCTGTAATGGTTGCATTGGTTTCGGATGCGATATGGTATACATCATGCATCCTCACCCAAAAGTAGTTATTCTGTATTTTTATTCCTCAACGTGTTTAATGCGGCAAAGATCCTACTTAGTTGCTGTAAAGACAAGTCCAGATTAACATGACGTCACATTAAATAACATATTGTTGCGTCACAGCCACACCTCACGAGAAAAAATAAATCATCTCATTGTCTCTGTACTTGCAGTTGTGGAAGTTTAATTGTCGAACTGGCCCTTGAATTCGCTTCGATTGTGTCAGAAGCTTCGGTAGTGAACACGCTTCGAACGGCTGCCACAAATAACAATTTTGGAGAATTCGCTGTCAATGCTCCGTCCATACAAGGGATTGCTGTGAATGAAAGTACGTCCACGCCTCCTACAGGAAAAACTACGGGAAGATCCTCTGATGGTATGATTTAACTCAATATGTGTACATGTAGTTTTCTCCATTGTCTTTCAGTTATTAAATAGTGATTAAGAGTGTGTTAAATGGTAATGCGTCTGCAGGCACTTTGTCCAGCTTTATAGGGGTTTTAAATGTACTAAATGCTATGTAGCCCAGATTGTTTGCTTCTCCACTCTAAAATAGGTAACCGTGAGTTTGTGAATAAAAATGTTATTTGCTCATTTCCTTTCCTTAAGATGAACGCAGCCTTTTATCGTAAATATAAACTGCGTGGTAATTTTGCAGTACAGTTCGTAAGCTGTGAACATCTGCCTCACTATACTTTACCATTGGCTTTAAAATTTAACATCTTGTTTGAAATGGAAGTGGGCTAAAATGCTCCTAGTCACTTTAAAATTGAAGACATGTAGATTCTAAGACAAATACGACTACGAGAACGAGGTTTTCTATATCCTAAGCTACCCTTCCCTTCTCTATTCTCTGCAACTGGTAAGTTTTGATCGTCGTACAACTTTGCAGATACAGTCTGGCAACCTTACGTCTGGTGTGTAGACAGCCATTTATTGGCAATATCTTTCTAGTTTTCCTTCAGCTCAGGCATTGATGCCGCTAATAAAATTTCCGCCGTTCAGCCTTGATCTACACAGCCTCTTAATTCGTCTGACATATTCTGCTATGATTAATATTATTATTATTATTCTCATCATCACTATACGTACAAGTAACAATTTGTATAGTCGGGCTGACTAATATTTGTGCTGTGAAGATGAATGATTTTTGCAGTTAAATTGTTTTCAGGCTTCTTATCGCAATTTTTCCTTTACTTTATCTCTATTTTTAGCTTTTTTTTTGATTTGGCAAGTGAATTGCGAAAACTACCTGTCAAAAATTAGGTTTAGCAGTTAATGTACAGTTAATGTTAATATCTCATCGTACCCCGTCACCTATCGATCCTTCCGTCCGTACAGACTCCAGGTGAGGGGAAGGTGGAACTCTTAAGGTGAGAGGAAGGGACACCAAGCATGTTTCTTGCGTTTGTCTGGGCGAAAGGCAAACCTGTGGAAGAAAAACCACCGCACGTCATAATGACGTAAACTCATGCCATTGAGTTGATCAAGATACACTTAGATTTTGGATGCGGTGATTAGGTCTAATTTGGTGTTCTCATTACGAGTGGCTATAAAGTTTTAGAGGAGGGGGATCACTCGAGCTCTTCCCTTCCTGTTCCCAGGAAGCAAAGAATAGCTCGGTTAAGACACACGTCAGTTTTGTTTAGAGAACGGGACGGATAATATGATATATGTTACTGTTTCATTTGTTTTATTTGTTGTTTAATAAGGTAATTCTCATTAATAGGACCAACAGCGCGAAGATACATTCATTAGCGTGAAAAAGCGAATATTTGCGCATAAATCAGATTCAATAACGATTTTTGCATTTTAATCAACATTCAATAACATTTTTGGGCATTCACTTGCGTCCTTCGGCATAGAAAAGGGAAAAACATACTTCCATACTCCGTCATACCCGTGTCATATATCAATTAACTTGACTGTGAACTAGTAACGTGATACCGAGTGCGTGCTTCGGCACAACACGTGCGAATTGTCTTCCCGTTGTTTATAGCCTTTAGTATTCTCAGTGGATATTTAGCGTTTGCTTCGGTGAAAATGCCGCCAAAAAAAAAGAAAAGGTCGTGTCCGTTTTCGTCATCGAAACCGAGAGGGAGAAAGAAATCGAAGAGCGAGTTTGACAAAGAATGGGCCGCAAAATTGGCAGAGAGCGACAAAGGCTCATTTTGTCACCAAGAGATTCAAGTGGCTCGAGGAGTTGGATATTCAGAAAAGCGAAAATGCTGCAGTTGCTGAGAGTGCAAGCCGCTCCAAAATCCAGCTTGAAGAGCCAGATGAAGAAAGCCAATTAAGCTCATTTGCTGATGGAACGTGGAAAACAATAAGCGGTCGAGCTATCGTATCGAGCGAAAAGCTGCTTGAGAAAATGGACGAGTCGGTATCTTGTCGATTTTGCCACGGAAGAGTCCAAGTCATGGAAAATGTAGCGACTAAGCATGGACTTGGTTCTACCTGGAGAATCCAGTGCGAGAATGAAAGCTGTCCGTCGCACAAGACAAATTCTGTTTTTAATTCTTCCGAGAAGAGCAGAGCGTTTGAAATAAACCCGGCCTCAGTTCTTGGCCTTCGAGCAATCGGTGGTGGACAAGTTTTTTAGTTTCCTTGGCCTGGCGCCGATCAACAAAAACGCCTGGGCGGATCATACAAAAAAGATCGAAGGAGAGGCAAAACTTTTGCTCGAGAAAGAATTAAACCGTGTTGCTCGTGGTGTAAAAGAGTGGAAGTTTTCCAACGGAGAATTAAACTGTTCACTTGAAGATGTTGATAGCAATAAAAAGTTTGTACCTGTTACATGTTACCTGTCAAAGTCCTATTGTTAGAGAAAATTGATGCCTCTCTGATATCAATCAGAATAAACATTTAGGTGTTATAATCTCATTCCAGGTAGGATGCCGCCAAAAATGTATTTTCTATTTTATCTCCGAACTCAAATTTTGCCGATCGACTCGTACGTTTTGAACTCCAAGTCGGCAGCCTTTCAATCAATTTGGCTAAAATTTGGCCAGAGTGATGCCATATATCTCTTCTACAAAACCGTGTCTGCGAATTTTAATGCTCTTTTTCATTTTAAAGCGAGAGCTTTTTTTCCACAGAGAGTTGACTAATTGCCTTCCCCAACTTCATTTGCTAATAAAAGAAAAACAAACGCACTTGTCAAAATTCTGAGACACGGTTTTTTAGTGGAACGTGTTGAGAAGCGAATGCGGTGTTAATTGTTTTCTTCCGTTTTTTTCCGGCGGGAGTAGAACATGATTTATAGAGACGTGTTGTTTTACACAAAGCGTTCCAATTTCGAAACACATTTAAGTAAATCGTTTTTGTTAGTTCAAATCCATAATCTGGAATTATTAAGCTTTTAAAAAATATATGGTTTATAGGGGTTTTTATAAAAACAACTAACGCTACAGCGATCCGCGCGCGGACTGTCCTAAAGGGTGGCTGATACCTTAACGCCAACATTAGAGTCATTAACATTATCTTGAAAATCATTAGGGACAATAGACAAACATTTAAGTGCAAACGCTTTTCATTGTCATTTTTATGACACTGTTTGTAATTCAATAACATTCCTGGACAGCTTTAGAATGGATAAGACAAACATTAACGCGCTTGTACAATAAATTGAACGTTCTTTACATTTAATATACAAAAATCTATTTTCAATTAAACAATACTAATTCAACCTCCAAAATTGGCCTGAATTTGTTTAAAGAACCACGCAGTACTTCGCCACTGTGTGTTCGTCGACGACTACGGCTATATATTTACCCTAGACGGCCAGAAGTCATAGTGAGGCGCGACAGGGAGTGGAGGGCGTACCGCCAAGTGTGCGGCCAACGAGGACGAAACGTGACTATGACCATGGCAATGTCACCTATCGAATACATGTAGATATATTTTTCTGGGCAGCTGCTAGAGTAATGAATGCTGTGTCGGTTTTTTCAGTGACTTTCTGGCACGAGCGAGGGAAAAAATGGATCCCGATAAGTCGGTGGTCTTTGCCTATAGCGGGGTGCCAGCCCACCTAGATTTGGCTTATGCTTTTTCATTCATTCATTCATTCATTTATTTTGCCATTAACCAGAAATACAACAACAGTATACAGAAATACATTAAAGATAATATTCCCCCCTCGACATCGCTGAAAAGGTTTTAAGTTGTCTGAAAGCGATACCTATGGCCGACATCTCGAGTGCGGAAATTGAAAGAAGTGCATTTATAACAGGAATGAGGGAAAAGCCCTAGTAATCCCAGAA